AAGCGAGCACTTGTACGGTATTTCTAACCACCCGACAAGACAGGTTCCTACTGTATGGATGTCACCATTAGACAGCCCGTGCGTGGTGTTCTGTCTCAGAGCGGAGCTTTGACATGGCATTTCTCTAGGAGTTTGACCTCAGGGAAGCATGGTAGTAGGCATGACCTTGCCTGGCACATTGGCACTCATGCTGCCTGAAAATGGGAGTGAAACTTTGAGCACCTCATCGAGGAGCTGGCATGGCTCCTCCGTGGACACCTGGTCTCCCGCCCCACCTCCTTGGGGGGAACTGAGCATATCGAGTACATCCTCTGTCTTCTAGGAGCTTCTAAGCAGTTTGGCCTCCTTGATTTATTTTGATATCGTAGGCAAAACATCAAGTTATTTGAAAGGAATGATTTTTGTTCTGTTTTATTCTTTCTCAAGCATACAAACAAAGCCATTTCCTTGCAACCATTCACCATATGGAGAAAGAGTCAAGTGTGAGGGTCACCCATCTTGGTGGTCTCAACCCTCTTGATATCAGGAAAGTCACCTGAGCCCTGAGAAATCCCTTTCCTCACCATCCCCACCATCTTCCTCATCCAGAAACCAGCCCCATGAGCCTTGGATACAGGGGAATGCCAGCTTGCTGGCATCTCTGGACATTTTGCACAGGGAGAATGGGACTTTCAGGGTCAGCCAGGACTTCACTTCCTACATCAGGCTTCCCAGGCTGCCCCTGCCCATCACAAGAGCTGTGATTCCAGGGAGGCCACTGACCTTCCTGAACCCAAGCCTCCTCTTGTGGACGATATGGATGATCACACAAGGCTTTCTGAGCACTGTGAACTCTATGGCAAATACATGGGGGCCCACCAGGGGCTCGAGGACCAGTTCCTTTTATTCCCATGGGAACTCCTTTATTTTCCTTTTGTCTCTACCGGTTCCTCAAGGCATCTTCTCGCAAAGGTTGCCTCTGGGTGTGACAGGAGTTACAAGCAGAGTGAGGAGGGGATGCACGTGTCGCCAAGGCCTGCTTGCTGGGTCTATGCTACCTAGGGGCAGCGTCCTAGGCTACTGGTTCCCCAGATAACAGAGGGCCAGCCATCCATGTGAGGGGGTGGGGTAGGAGGATTGGGGGGATGCTCACCCAGTGTCCAGCAGGCTGAACAGGCCTGGGGTCTCCAGGCCTGCCAGAGTTTGTGGAAAGCCAGCCATGGCTCATCTTAGGGCTCGGCCTGACCCTCCTGTGCTTTCCCTCCAGGACAAAGAAGTGAATTTGGAGCAGGTTCACCGGCGCATAAACAGCCTAATGGATGAAGACATTGCCCACAAGCAGATTTCCCCAGCGTCCATTGAGCTTTCGGCCCTGGAGATGGGGGGCCTGGCTCCGAGCCAGGCCTTGGAGCCCACGCGAGAGTACCAGAACACACAGCTCTCGGTCAGCACTTTTCTGCCCGAGCAAAGCGGCCACGGCACCAGCCGGACACTGTCATCGGGGCCGGGCAGCAACCTGCCACTGCCCCTGAGCAGCTCCGCCACCATGCCCTCCATGCAGTGCAAACACAGGTCGCCCAACGGGGGGCTGTTCCGCCAGAGCCCGGTCAAGACCCCCATCCCCATGTCCTTCCAGCCTGTGCCGGGAGGCGTCCTTCCAGAGGCCTTGGACACCTCCCACGGCACCTCCATCTGACCGCGCCGCCTGCCCTGCCGCCCGTCCATCCACCCACCCGACCAGCAGAGCTTTTTAATACAAGAAAACAACCACACAAACCACACACACGTGCACACACACATACACACACACCACACAGAGACTCTTTCATTTTTCTTGTACATACGTGTAAATAATGACAGAATGGAGTGGGGTAAAAGTGTATTTTGAATATTCCCAATTTTCGAAGTCAGTAAAAAAAAAAAAAACACAAAAACTGTATGAATGACTTTGTAAATTTTGTTCTATATGAATAAAAAGGCAAATTACTTGTGATCATTCTGAAGTGCCAAAGAAGCCCCCTGTTCCTGGGCCTTTCTGAAGGCAGGAGGGGTGATCAGATAAGGACCCCCTTCCTGCTGGGGGAGAGGGGAAGATGAGCAGCTATTCCCTTTAGAGGAGCCCCAAATGCTGCTTGTTGCCATGTCCCATGGTTTCCTGCCACGTTCCTCTGCTCCTGGCCCTTTGTTCCTCTTTAATCCTTTTGGGTAGACCAACAGTGAGCCAACATTGGCGTGACCCCAGGCCACTGTGCTATAGGGTGATCAGCTGTTCCTGTCAGCCTGGGACTTAGGAGGCTCCCGGGACATGGGGCAGTCCTCTTGGTCACCCACCGCATAACACTGTGTGCTGTGGGCCCAAGAGAAGCACCCCCAGTGAAGTGACCGTCTCTGGGAGCTTCGATGCTGACATGCTCTAGGGTCATACTATTGGCCTTGTTTTTTACTTTCTTTCCCCAGTTAGAAGAATCAACAAGTGATAGAATATGGGAAAAGGCAGATAGGCCCCATCATTGGCTCTGGAGGCTTGGCAGAGTTGGGCTTGTCCTTGTCCGTGGGAGTAGAGAAATGCTAGGTGTGGTGTGTGGGCCAGGCGAGGTGGTGAGACGTGAGCCCAGGGAGAGGGAGAATATCCCTTTGGGTTTGTGACCTGTAGTTTCAGGTCAAAGGATTCTGTTGGAGAAGTGGAAGGACGTACCCCAGGTGAGCAGACCAGTGCTCTAGGTGATGGCGAGTGCTGGGAATAGATCAAAGGGACCATGTTCATTCAGAGAGGAAGGAGCCTTGGCTCCTAGAGAAGGAGCAGCATAATTTGGTGTGATATGAAGACAAGTAACTCATCCCCCAGGGAAGCAGCCCCAAAAGTGAAAGGGTGTCTCCAGGTCTAAAACCCTGCAGGCAGTCTGCCAAGGGGCCAGAACCCAGTCCTCACTTCCTGCTTTGTCCCCTTCTCCAGACCAGAAGCCCTCATGCAGAGAGCCAGCCCATAGCAGGGGCCCCTCTGGCTAGGAGCATCTATGGTCTCTGAGCTTCCCAGGACTATCCCTGAACTGGCCAACCTGCTGGGAAGCTCTGTTCCTTAAGGCTAGGATAATCAGACAGCCACGCCTCCCTCCCTTGTCTTTCCTGGGGGCAATTAAAACTATAGAACCAGACAAGGAACCACTAGGAGCAGAGCAGTTCGAGTAATCTGAGCTGTATCCCTTCAGCTCTTCTCCTAAAGACAAAGGTGATTCTGTTGTCCTAACCTGCCAGGATAGTGAACACAGCCCACATCGGGCACCCAGAGGGCTGGGCTCCGGGCCCCACACCCATCTTCCTGGGCTGGGCAGTAATCAAGGAGCTAAGAGTCCGTCTGTGGTCAGGCAGAAATACAAAGACTATTGACTGAATCTCCTTTAGCCTTGTAGAGTTAGTCCAGAGGTGTATTTAGGAGGGTGATAACTAGCCCTGGATTGATTTCTCTCCTGAAGTCCTGACTGACATGATTGAGCAGAAAGGAACGGCTGCATCACATAGTCAGCTAAAAGCACCCCGGGGAGAAGAGTGTTTATAATTATGTTATTTATCTCTGGAAGCTGAGAATGGCCTGATTATTAGTGCTACCGAGGCGATCCATTGACATTTCTCCAATCAGCGTGGAGAGCCAGGAGCCGGGCGCATGCGCACAGCGAAGCCTGGGTGGGCCGCGGTTTCCCCGAGGGAGGGCGGGCTTCATTTTCTTTCCATCAGCACTTTGGGGGCCCTGCCCTGGATGGTCAGTTTTTCATATATATCTATTTTTTTAATCAAATTCTGGTCTCACTGCCTTATCTCACTCCCAAGCCTGTGTTGTGCTGAGATGATCTGTCTTCTGGGGTACACCATGAATGTCTTCTTGGACAGCTTTGCTTAGAATGGGTGTCGGAGAGGAGAGAGACAGCAGGTGTGTGTGTGTGCGTGCGCGTGCGTGCGTGCGTGTGTGTGTGCGTGTGTGTGTGTGTGCTTGTGAGAAAGAGAGCACGCACATCTTTGAGGAAAAGGTATTCTGCTTATATTTAAAAAAAAAATCCCTTAACACCTCATGGTGTTATTCTTCACCATGTTTATGTTATTTTTTAAATTTCCTACCCTTGGCATGAGGGGAAATGATTGATATTCAAGTAAGTTCTCCAGAAAAAAAAAAATTCCCAACTCGGATTTCTGTGTCAGCTCAGAATGTATCTTTTTTTCATGCTTTGCTCTTTGGATTTATAACTGTTTAGACTATTCCATACATTTTAGGTATATTTTGTGCCTTCAGACACTGCAAATAATAATCAGCATTTGGATTAAAGTTGTTTAATAATAAAACTTGACTTTGCTCCCTACCCTCTTCTTCTCTGGGGTGAGGAAATGCTATCTGCTTATTCCTGGGCATGCTGTGGTCATGAGCTGGGTTCTGTCCCATTGGCATGGGCGGTTGTGAGGGAAACTTCTCTGACCAAGTGGGTGTGAGATGTGCCTGGGGATGGAAGCACAACCTCCTTACCTAGTGTATGTCCAGAATCCCCCATATCAACCAGGGGTCAATGTGAAGGACAGAAATTGAGAAACAATTCTAATTTTTGGTTACCCTAACAATTTCCTGTATAATGTGAGTTATTAGAAAATTCATAGGAGAAAATTTGGCCATACTGCATGGAGAAGTGTTCCCATGGCCTCGTGGAGTGAACAACCTCTTAAGTGTCAGTTGGCTTTGTTTCCTCTCTCATTCCTACACTCACTTTGACTGCAGATGAGTTGTTTCTCTATCCTTAGGCCTTAGGGCTAAGGGGCTGTCATTCTTTGGGGAGCCACCGCTTGGCTTTTCAGTATCAGACCCTCAGAGGCTCTGTGGGTACCATTCTCCAATGAATATCCATCTGCCTGGAATCACCAGCCTGGGCCCTGGACCTCCAGATTCATATGCTCCCCAGCTCCACCTTGTGCATCACAAGGTTCCCCTCTGACTTCTAGGCCTTCCAGGGAGAAACGGCTCTACTGTCAGCCTTGGGCCAAAGAGAGTCGACCTGAGGAGTTTGGTTTTCATTATCAAGATCTCAACTTCGGGGCGCCTGGGTGGCTCAGTTGGTTGGGCGACTGCCTTCGGCTCAGGTCATGATCCTGGAGTCCCGGGATTGAGTCCCGCATCGGGCTCCCTGCTTGGCGGGGAGTCTGCTTCTCCCTCTGACCCTCCTCCCTCTCGTGCTCTCTGTCTCTCATTCTCTCTGTCTCAAATAAATAAATAAAAAATCTTAAAAAAAAAGATCTCAACTTCCAGGAACTGAGAGGAGAGTGTCTGGGCCCTTGTTCTTGTGGTCCCACACCAATGAGTGGCATCTCCAATGCTGAGTACAAACTCCAAAGGCTGGGGGGCGGGGAGGCAGAGCCCCAGCAGATGCTCCCAGATTATCTGAATAGACAGACCTGTCTGGACAGAACTCCCAAAGCCTACATTTTCTTAAGGAACTGCCCAGTTCCTAAATTTAAATCCTCCCAAATCCTGCCAAAGTAGAACTAATTTCATACTGAATTTGGTCTTCTCAAGCACTGAAAGAAGAACAAAGACACAAAGGAAGACAAGATCATTGGGCCTGAAGACCATGATGGCATGGAAGGGGTAGTTGGTTCCTTTGGCTTATGTGTTCTCCTTTAATAATCATAGAGATGGACAAGGTCTGGTGGATAACATGTGACCTATGTTTCTGAGACAAAGGGGTTATTTACTCACGGGCCTCTGCCTGACTGCATTTTCAGTTCCCTTTCTTGAGGAACTCACCTTTCACTCCTGTAGTTATGTGCTCATGAATTAGCATCTGTGACCAGCAAAAGCCTTGTTTTGTGCTTCTGGCTTTGGCAATACAAGGTGGATAAAAGCTCCAAGAATTCTTAACTGACCTTTCCTTGCTACAGACACAATAAAATAGAGAGCATTTCTGTTCCTGATGTAACGTTCCTTATATCTAAAACATTATTTTATTTCACCCATTAGTTGCTTTTACTAAATGAAATCATGTTTGATTCTTATTATGCTCACCCTTCATACCAGGAAACTCTGAATAGGTAACAATTTTCTATGCTAATAACTTTAATTATTGTCTTTTTCCCCCTCTCCGTGGTATGTAGCCGGAGAGGTTAGTTATAAGAAAAGTGCACAAATTGCAAATAAATCAGGTGAGCTAACAGTAACCTCCTTCAAAGGAGGAAGGGACAATTGTCAGTGATCTCAGTCAGACCCTCCCTCCAGCTTTCATTCTTTCACCTCCGAACTTGACCTTGTGTGCTGAGCCCCAGGGAGAGGAGAGGTTCTCTCCACAGCTAGAAGAACTCCTGCTATGGAAATCTGCAATGACCAATGGCCAGGATCTGGGAGAGGGGGCACCAGGGTGAGCAAGCAAAGGTGTCTCAGGGAGGGTTCAGTCGCTGGCAATTCAAGCATACAGTTGCCAGGGAAACCAAGTCTCCAAACTCAGAGGAAAACAAACTATTCACCAACACCAAGACTTCTCAACTCACGAAAGAAATATAGCTAAGCACATGTACACCTGCACACTGCTCGCACACAGACACGGGGGTCCATCCATGCACACTCAGTTCAGTCGCATGCATGCAAAATTCTGGAAAGCATGCAGCCATGCACTTGGGCAAGGCAAGCAGAGAAAGTCCTGCTCGCCAGATGTGAGAAAAGGAATCTAGGGGAGGAAAGAGGCTGCTTCAGGGCTGCCCTGCCCAGTGGGTAATCTCAGGGCAACAATCAGCCACGTGATGCGGTGCCATCAGCTGCTGTGGAGGGACACGTGTCTCCCACGAGGTGGCCTCTCTCTGGCCAGGTGTGTGCACCATGAACCATCCTCTGCCACCGAACACTTGCTCTGAAATCCTCCTGATTTTCCACCCAAATCCCCAAATATGTGAAGAAGTCTCGAGTATTCTCCAGGGCATCATAATGGCTTCCTAAATAAGAACACCCATTATCATATTCACATCAGCAGCTGTTTA